CTTTTAATCCTCCTTTGTCTAGGCTTCATGATGAATTAGTGTTGATGCTAACTCTAATTCTATTTCTTAGCTGTTTGGCTTATGCTAATTTCACTCAAAACAAATTTTCCCTCCACCTTGGCTAAATTTACTTTCTTGAATTCCTGCTATCTTCAGGGGCCCTAGTTTATATTTCCATTTTATGAATTCATTTATTCAAAAGAGGCCTATTGGAGAGAGTGCTAGTCTCAGAGTCAGGATGACATGGGTTCAAATTTCACCTCTGACACAAAGCGTCACTGTAACCCTGGACAAATCACTTAACCTCTCAGCGTTCAAGGAAACTCTTTAAAACCTTAAGCTGCAGAGAAGGTGCAAACCTGCATTGACAAAGAACTTCTTCAACAGATAATTCCTATATCAGTAAATTCATAGCTCCTGTCTTTATTCCTACAAAAACGCTGAATACCTACTATGTGCAAATATGCAAAATGAACAAAATGAAACAAGACACATCGCTCTTTTTGATCAATCAACAAGCATTTATTAAGTGACTACTGTGTTCCAGGTAGTCAGTCAATGAATATTTAAGCTCCTACTATGTGACGGGAACTGTGGACAGGGAATACAAATACCAAAAGAGAAAGTCCTTTTCCTCACGGACCTTACAATCTAATGGGGGAAGATAAAACACAAAGGGAAGTGGAAAGGGGGTTGGGTGGGTGGGGAATAGTTACCAATCAGGGCCACGGTGGAGAAGTCAGAGACATTCCAAAGCAACCCAGCCAGGTGAGAAATGAGATGTCTGAGCTGGGCTCTCTCCTTAATTGAAAGTTTGGAGTTCATCCATTCAAGAATTATTTCCAGTGTTGTAGATAGCAACTCATACATGCTTTCCTTGTGTCTCTTGTCCATGTTCTCCTAAAAGTTCATCATATGGGATCCATCTAATATGCTGAAAACATTGCTAAATTTCTCTCAACATTTTGAGGGTATGTGTGGAGCACTCTGGCTGTCAATCTCTCACCCCTTGCTCTTGCCATGAGACCAGTCCATCTTCTCTCCCAGTCACACAATTTCTTAATGACATCTTTTTCAGAGTTCCTCATTGGTTATACTGTATAAACTCTTCATACCCATCAAACACCTTTCTTTTGCCTTCTCTGTGATACTCGTTTTCAGTTGTTCAGAGGTATATTCCACATTTTATTATAATATAGTAGTTCTGTTAAAATGTTGGTATTGAAAAGATGGGTCTTTGATTTCTTAACAAGCTAAAAATCAACCTAAATTGAGTTGCTTGCCTTTTCAATGAGGGTGGGTGGGGAGGGAGGAAGGAAGAAAATTTGGAACCCAAAGTTTTAAAAACACATGTTTAAAAAAAATGTTTTCACATGTAACTGGGAAATAAGAAATACAGGAAATGGGGTACAGAAATCTATCTTGCCCTACAGGAAAATAGAAGGGGAAGGGGGTAAGAGAAGGGGGGGAGAGAGAAGAGAAGGCAGACTAGGGGAAGGGGTATTCAGAATACATGCCATCTTGGGGTGGGGAGAGGGGTGAAAATTTGGAACTCAAAATCTTGTGGAAGTAAATGTTGAAAACTAAAAATAAATAAATTTATTAATAAAAAAAATAAAGTGTGTTTCTTCCAGGGGAAAAAAAAAAACAAGCTAAAGGTCAGTCAAAGAGCTTTACAGTTACTCAAAAGTGATCTATACCATTTTTCTCTTTTTCAATGCTAGGCTCAGCTTATCATCCATCTGTACAATCTTCTGTCTCAGTTAGATATAATGATAGATAAGTTGTATAGGGTGGCCATCCAAATACAGGATTCAAAGAAACTAAATTTTAATTGGAAAGGTTTAATGGAGATTAGAAGATGCCAAAAGGCAAATATGTGGATTATATCAAGGTGGGGGAAAAAAGGATAGGAGCAAAAGCATGAAGACAAAAAAAGCATACTCTCTATTTAAGGATGGTTTCAAGTAAGAGTCCAGTGTAATTAGATGGCCTAAAAGGCTGGATGATATCAGATCACACAGGGCCTTGAGTGTCAAGCTAAGGATTCTGAATATTTGAAAATTAATGATAAACAACTAAAGGTTTTGAGGGCAATTAATTTATATGATAGATTGGCAGCTGGGTGCTTGGGAAGAGAGTAAAGGCAGAGATCTATCAGGAAGCTTTTGCAATGTGACAGGAAACCATCAACTTAAATGAAGGCAGTACTTAAATGAAGAGAATGGAAAAATTTATGATATTGTAGGTGTGACTTTAGCACAGTGCCTGGCATATGGCTTAATGGGTGCTTAATAAATGTTTGAATAACTGAGTAGAATCAATAAGACATTGGGGTTGGTTGGAGGTGAGCTGTATATACCATTATCTATTTAGGCCACCTAATAAAAGAGTAAGACTGAAATTTATCACTGGATCATTCACCCTCCTAACACCAAGTGATCTGACTGACATGTGCTGATTTGTCATTTTAGTATGCTTTTGGCAATTCTTAGGATGGAAATCCTCTCTCTCTACCCTCTTCCTTTCCAAATGCACAGGGAATGTTTGTTATTCACTTTGTGGGTGAGCCAAAGAAAAAATGCCAAGGGTTGGGTGATTGATGAGCTTAATTGGTCCTCTCCCCTACCACCTCCCCCCCACCTACGTTTGAGTTCACTTTTCCCTGGACTCTATATGTACCTGTGGGAGAGTGTGCTCCTGTTTTGTTGGGGAGTTACTTGTCCCACTATTTTTACTGTACCACCCTACTAAATACTGAGAGAAATGATTATTAAATAACCGACTGTTAATATTAGGGAGATCCAGGATTTTTTCCCTTCCTCATTTGGAGATTAGGTCAAAGCTAAGTTCTCTGAAGGGCAGGGGGATGATGAGATGAAATCTTGGAATTCTTACCCCACCTAGCTAAAAGACCCTTACAAAGAATTTAATCTAAGGTGAATTCCAGCCCATCATGTTCCACTCAGCCAGGTCAGAGTGGAGGCAGATCCTTTATCTAGATTGTTCAAGGCTGGGGGTGATCTGGGAGAGAGTGAACAAAGTCACATCTCCCAACCCCTCATTAGGATGGGTCCACACTTCTCACTATAATATTCATTCTTCTCATTGTTAACCAATCTGATTTGATTACCATCCTCTGGAACACCTGCTCTTCCAAAGGCACATAAGTAATGAGTGGGTTCCATGAGTGGTCTTTGGCATTCAAAGAGTGCCACTGAGCCTTCTTATTAATTATCTGCTAGCATGCTTAATAAAATAATTACCCAGAAACTATATCTCTTCAAATTTTTTATATGTCACAATACCCTAAACAAAAATAAAGTCTGCCTGGTTAGCTAATAACAACTGATGACTGAAGGAAGCACATGAGTGGGAACTTGAGAGCCATACATAACACTAGAAAAGACACTCCCACTCCCACTTCTCAGGGCTACCCCTATAATCCTTAGGGGAAAGACAGTAGTCCCCTTTGGGGACCCATTCTTCCAACGTCGGTGGTGTTTGGAAAAGTATCTCCAGATGCTATGCAAACAAAATAAATACACAGTGATTTGGGTTGGGGCTAATAACCATTAGAAATATCAACAAAAGCTTCTTGAAGAAGGTGGTAGTCCTTGAGACTAGTCTTAAAGGAAGCTAGGGGTTCCAAGAGGCAGAGGTGAGGAGGGAGAGGATTTCAGGTTCTACCTGGTTCTAATGCGTGGAGGCAGCAGATGGAATGCTATATACTGGGAAGAGCATATAGATCAATTGAGCTAAAGGGCAGCCTGTGTGAGAGGGAATAATGTCGAAGCTAGGTGGAAAGACAATAGAACAGATTATGAAGGTCTTTTAAATGCCGAACAAAGGAGTTCGTATTTTATCCTAAAGGCAATGAAGCGCTAAGGTTTCTTAATCAGGAGTAACATGGTCTGGCTTGTATGTTAGACATATTTGGCAGCTGCGTGGAGGATGGACAGGGAGGCCGATTTGAAGGTTATTACAATAATAGTCCAGGTGAGAAATGCTGTGGCCTTGGACTAAGGTAGCTATGGGTGTACAGAGAAAAATAGGAAGGAATGCAAGAAATGTTGAGGCAGTGGAATCAACAGGATCGGGCAGCTGACTAGCTATGGGGTGGGGGAGAATTGAAAGTAAGTAGTGGGCAACTTTTTCCAACTTGACTAGAAGAATGGTAGCACTCTCAACGAAAAGAGGGAAGTTAGAAAGAACATGAAGAAGCAGATGTTACAGCAAATTTGGAGCCAGAGCTTCAGGATGACCAGGATTCAAACCCTGCCTCTGACACGAGTTGTCTGTGTGACCCTCGGCAAGTCACTTAAAACCTCGGTGTCCTAGGCAATTAAGACTAAACTTTTTAACTGGTATTAACTAAACTCATTAGTTGATATCCTGTCTACACCAGTAAAATTATATATCTCGACCAGTGGAAATCGCACATGCATGATCTTCTTAGGGTGGATTTATGTTTTTTTTTTTAAACCCTAAGAGTGGACCAGATGCTGCTAGCCCCATTTGGCTGAGGGGAGGAGGAGAGGTGTATGCATGCTAAAAATGACCACAGGGACCCATCCTCTCAAAAGGAAGGCGCGTTGTCACTACCAAGCTTAGGGCCAGAGAGCCTCTAACCCAATTCTCAGGTTCCTCGTCGGTAAATGGGGTTGGAGCAGTGGGGGTGGGGGTTTACACCTGCAAGGTTCCTCCTACTGAGTCTGCGGTGCAGGCTTCCAGGTCCACTGGAAAGGACGTCTCGTAGTGAGGTTTGGAGCCAGAGGAAATGGGTTCAAGCTGTGTCCTTGTGCATGTGCCTTATCCTCTCCGGGACTTAGTTCCCTCGACTGTGATGTGAAGGGGTGGGGGGATGGATGCCCTCTAAAGCCCCTTCCAGCTCTAAGCCTTGAAATCCGCGCGCAGCTCCGCCGCTCTGCCCGCGCTCCCGGGCACCCGGGGCCCGCGCCCCGCCTCCCGCAGAGGCGGCCACGGTCACGGCCAAGGCCATGGCGGCGTGGCGGCTCCCGGCGCTGGCAGGGGCCTCCCGGGGGTCGCCGCTGCCCTCCTCGCTGGGGCCTCAGGTACCCCCCGGCTCTATGCTGTGTTCCGCCTCCGGGTCAGGCGGCTGCGGCAGCGCCAACGGTTCGGCAGCGCGGGCCCCGGAGAGTCCGGAAGGCACCAGGCCCGAGCGGTCCGAGAGCCCCGAGAACCCCAAGCTCACAGCGGCAGAGCTGCTGATCGCCCAGCTGCACGAGGCCGCCTGCGCGGTGAGCTCCCTCCCTCCACTTCTCTTCTCTACGGCGGCGCGCCTGCGCCTGCGCCTGCGCCACCCCCCGCGCTCGCTTCCTCCCGGCTCCCGGCTCCCGGCTCCCGGCCGCGGCGCCGCTCGCAGCCAGGCCGAGCCCAGTTGTGGGCGCGTGGGAGGCGCGGAGGCGCCCTTCCGGGGTCCGGGCTACGGCGCAGCTCCAGGCCGTCCCGCTCCCCAGCCCCATCTCGCTTCCCATTCGCAGTCCCCGCCCAGGCCGATCCCCTGGAGCCCGCTGGGAAGGCAGCGGGTCAGCTCTCTGGCCCCCGAGGCGTACGCTCTGCCGAGCAAACCTACTGGGCCTGGGCGGGGAGGGATGCCTGCGCGCCTGGGTGCACCTGGGAAGGTGGAAGAGCGAGCATGTGGGGAAATACGGTCTCTGCGAGCTGACTGACCTATGTAGACTGAGTCCACGACACGCAGTTCTGGTGTTTATATGCCAACGTGCGCCCACGTGGGTGTGGACTTTGAGGGAAGAGTAGGGAGAAAAAAAGTTGCACGTTTATTTCACGTGTAAAACAAAGCCATATTAGTGCAGCAGGAATACAACATATTCCCAAATGCATCGTTTCATGTTTACTAACCCAGAATGTATTCACTTCTGTTCATTGTAGGTACCTTCCCTTCCCTTCCCCCCACCCCCCACTTCCTAGTTACCCCTCCCCAGTACAACAAAAAGAAGAATATTTGGAAGGAAACTAGAATCAGTATTTTCCAGGAGACACTTAAACTGCATCCTCATGTGCTGGGCCTTTAAAACTGGTGTCCAAGACTGTCCTCTGAGAACAGCCACAGTCAAAACTATGGCATAACCTACACATGAATAAAGGTTCCCATACCCTTCCTTTCCTTTGAGAGATAATTCGAACACTAACTGAGAGTCCTGTAACTGAAATCAAAATTGATCAAGAATTTATTAATGTTCATTATTTGAAGCTAGAACTTGGCTTGGACAAGGGGACAAAAGGAAAGCTAGGTGGACAAAAACTTTGCTCCTTCAAAATCTTACTTCTTTTGCATAGGAATTAGTGTGTACTAAGGACACAGACTTCCCAACGGCCTCTTTGTTTAGGCTGCAATTTCTTGCCTTAAAATCTTCTAGCTACAGATTGCCTGGGTTTGTCAACAAAGTGCTGGCTATTTTGTTGTTTCATTTTTAAGAGCTTGAAATAAGGCATACTCCTGTTGTTTCCCTCTCTATTCTAATCTAGACATAGGTGAAAGCAAGTTCATTTTTTTTAATAGCCACAGAAACCAATAGTGTCATGGTGCCTATCTCCCACCTCCAGATATTTTCTCTGACTGTGTCCCATGTCAGGAATGCTCTCCTCTCTCATTTCTGCCTACTATATTCTCTGGCTTCCTTTTAGTGCCACCTAAAATCCTATCTTCTATAAGAAGTCTTTACCACCACCTCTTAATTCTAATGCCTCTTTTTATTATTTCTATTTATTTATTTATTCATTCATTCATTCATTCATTCATTCATTTATTATGTAGCTTGTTTGTATGTGTTTGTTTGTGGTCTCCTCCATTAGATTGTGAGCTCCTTGAGGGCAGAGGCTACCTTTTGCCCCTTTTTGTATCCTGTGTGTAGCACAGTGCCTGACACTTAGTAGATGCTTAATAAATGTTTTTTGACTGATTGACTGCCTCCACCTAATGACTGAAGGAAACATTCTTTTTGTAAGAGAAAGCCACAGTTGTATCATCATCAATGTCAGTGTCATGGCTCAAGTGGTCGTTCAGAAGTAAAGCCAATAATGACACTGTTGTAATTTTTCATCTTAACAACAAATCAGACTCACCTAAAAACCCTACTTCAAAGCCACAGGGTAGATGGCTTGCTCTCTTACCTTTCCACCTTGCTTTGATGATCATCACTTCACATCTTGCTCTTCAACCAAACTGTCAGCACTTTGACTGCAGCTTCATCCGCCCACCACCATTATGAAATTCATTTACTGAAGACAAATTAAATTCTTATGGACGAAGGTTCTGGACCAAATTGGAAGGCAAAATCAGAAGTAATCTGTTAGGTTGCTGGGTGACCTCAGAAGGCTCCTAGAGGCTATTGAAAAGGGGTGGAGGGGAGGAGTTGCTACTGATTCCTAGTCTTTTCACATCCCAAACTTAGACCTGGTTTCCAATAAAGAAGAGAAGATAAAGTGATCAACCGTTCTGAGGTGGAGTTTCATGGCCTCAGTTTCCAAGAGGTCTGTCTTTGTGAGTGTCAAGAATTTTGGAGGTATTATGGATCTGTTCTTTGGAATGGCTTGCTTTTCAGTCCCCACTGTATCTACTTCTGGGACGAGGTTTGCAGTGCAGTTAACACTGAGCTTTCTCACTTTATGGTACACTTTTCACTTAATGGAGGAGAGAAAGGTAGAGGGTTAAGTTAGCATAAAATGTTTGATGACAAAGATGATTCCCCCCTTTACTTTTCTTTTAAATAATTTGAAGTGACTTAAATGTTTCCCATAAAATCCCCTGAATATAAAAGATGTTTGAATGACCTCTAAATGATTATGAAGGGAATTTCTTCTCAAGAATGAATGATACACTTACTGCATGTCCATATTAAAACACCCAGAAAAGGTGTACCTATGAAAATGTGAGGAATCAAGCATTTTGCTGAGTCACATATAGTTGAGTTCCACTCAAAGAGGCAGTGGGATTTACTCTTGCACTAAATACTCATTTTGCTAAGTTTGCAAATTGTAGTGTTTCTTTAGCATTGGAACTGTTAGGGTAAGAGCGGCTTTTGATCAAAGAGCAGTTGAAAGCAGTGAGTATTAATATTTTATAACAAAGTTTTTTCTTCAAAATAAGTCATGTTTTCAAAAAATAATGTAAAGAAAGTATAAGGATATAAAGCATATAAAGTGTGATGAAGATTGTAAAATTATAGCACATGTTACACTTTCTCTGCAACAGCTGTTTCTTCCGATAGGTACCTTTTCTGGAAACTTAAGTCCCTCTATACAAATCTAAGTTGAATGTCACATTCAAGGAAGCTTCCATGCAACTTGAGAGTGATTGTCCATTTTCAGAAACGAGAGCTGTTAAAGAAACTTAAATGTCTATGGTCCAGAGAAGAATGAAGAATACTTAAGCAATCATTGGGTGCAGTTGAGTTTTTGGTTTCTTATGTTTAATTTTCTTTGTTTTCCCCAAGTTATGCATTTTCTCCTTCCGTAATATAAATAATGCACAGTAGTTCAAAAGCAATCTTCAGTCATTAATGGGTTTGATTCCAGGGAAGGAAGTAAATATTTGTCGAAAGATTATAGTTTCTTATGGATAGAAGATGCAATATGAATATGAAGACTATATAAATTTCTAAAGTTTTAATTATTTTATTATTTTTAAGGCTGGCCAACTAAACTATGTGGATCCAACCACTGGCCATTTAGTATTCACCAAAGTGGCCCATTTGCAGAGAGGGGACTGCTGTGGTTCTGCCTGCAGACATGTGAGTAGTAAACTCTCCCATTATCGCTGCAGCTTGCCTCGCTTCTATAACTTCGTAAATAGGTATTATTTGAAAAACAAGTCAAATAAAAATCTAAATGGACCTAGAGTGCACTTTTCACAAGCTGCTTTAACCAAAGACAATGACATCCTTAAGGGCCAATGAAGGACCTTTAAAGTTAATAGAATTTTGCCCCATTTCACATGAACATTAGTTCCTTGAAATGCTGTGATTTGAAATTCACCGGAGTTCATTATTACAGGGAAACTTTTCATTGTTTTTCAAGTTAGGTTGTATTCACTAGGCAAACCCAAAGGGCATATTACTAGGAGCCAGTATATTGCAGGCTATGCTACCAGAATTGAAATGGTTGAAAACTGACCAACTTTGTTTCATGGGCTTGCTTTGGGTAATTTTTTCTTTCTTTGCTTCTTTCCTTCCTTCTTTACTCTGTCCCTCCTTCCTTCTTTCTCTATTTCTATCTTCCTTTTTCTTCCTTTCTTCCTTCTTTCTCTTTTTTCTTTCTTTTTCTATCTTTCTTTCCTCTCTTCTCCTCTCCTTTCCTTTCCTTTCCGTAGAATGGTTAGAAAATAGCAAAGAGACTGGATTGTTAAAAAATGACTATTTCCTCTTTATAATGTATGTTATGGTATATACAGTAACACATCATATTTATTGATCAGGAAGTCTAATTTGTTTTTTTTTTTCAAACACACAGTTTGTGAGACTGCCTTGGAAAGAAGAGGCTATTTGAGGTGACTTTTAAGAGAAGTTGATAAGTCAAGGGTACATAAACAGCAAGTCTCAATTCAGAGAATTTGTTTATACTCCAACTTGCTTATGCTCCAAGTTAAGGCACATTATGATTCTGAGTAAAATGCAAATTACTCTATATTTTCAATGGTTAAGAAAAAGATTCATTTAAGATTATACATAAGAACAAACTATAAGTAAGAAAATATATGTATGATTTAGAGGGATAAGGAGAATATTTTCATTGATGATCCATTTTAACAACTGAAAATGAGCATTAAATGTTTATGTTAATTGTAGCCAGTATTCAAAAGCAAAAATTTAACTTTAGAATTTTCCTGTCTCTGTCAATAGCTGTTTCAAGATTGAGTACATAAGCTGTATAGGAGTAAGGGCCCAAATAAATTGAAGTGATTGGGGTTTTTTAAGGAGAGGGTTTGGATTGTAAAACCCCTAAAATTCGAAGGAGCATTTAGGAAGTGGTTTCTTAGACACTAATTAGGACCATTTGCTTGAGGCTGCCATTATTTTTCCTTTTAGTCTGGAGGGCACGATAGATCAAATGAGCTGTATAACATCATTAACAATCTCCTTTTTCATCATAAGCAGCCTTGTAGTTTTTCATGCTGATTGTTTTTTTTAATGCAATAACGATTTTTTTATTTATTCTGCAGTGTCCATATGGCCAAATCAACGTTAAAGATCTGTCGAAGAGGAAGCGATTCAACTCACTGTTTTATATTTGAGAATGATTTCAATTTGTGTTTTCCTTGTTAACAGCCTGCAAAATAAAATACAATAAAAGGCCTAATCTAGAATTGTTATTTGTGAAAGCATTAATTTCCCTTTTAGTGATGCTCTTTAAAAAAAAAGTAATTAAGATTAAAATTAGCTGTTGTTTTTGTATGCTTAAGTGTTACAGAACACATCATTAGTTATTTTCCTCCTTTTAGCTTCATTACCAGACATATTTTAAAGCAAGAAAATTACTGCTCCATCAAATAAATAGTGACAATAAGTTCACATTGGTAGGTCTTGATTCTATATATTACCTTACTTTTTCCTACTATTCTCTTATATGTGTGATCCATCTAAGGAGGGTTGCTGGCTGCTGACAAGTGGAGTTTGAATCAATGCTTCATTTACTGTCTATCTACAGGTATAAAAAGATTGTCATAACCCTCTTTTGTGTGGCATATGAGAGCCCAGGAAGTGTAATTTTGCTGTAGAATGGCTCTCGTTTTCCATCTGTCCTCTCAATAAAAACTTTAAACCATTGCCCCCTGGGGGTCAGGAATCTAAAGATGAGGGGAGGATTTTTGACAATTCTCCCTTCTCTTTGGTTTTGCACTTTCACTTCCCCCGTCCATTCCAGAAGCTCTTCTTTGCCCATGGTTTGCCTAAGGGAAAAACTCTTTCCCACTGACTCACAAGGAGTTTGCAGTGTGATAGAAAGGTGAGCAGGGTCTCACATAAGTAATTTGAGGCCTCCTCTATCTATACCTTTCTCCTTGGCTTTGATCAGAGTGTCCAGGAGACCCAGAGGATCCTTCTGTGTAGCTGGGAACCCTAATGAAAGCAAGGAACTTGCTAAGTTGATCTTGCCCACAAATTCTAACCTCACAAATGTGGATACAAAGGTATTGAAACAGCTTTGGCCCTGCCGAAAGAGACACCTATCTCTCAAGTCAGAGCAGGGTTCCAATGGCATATTCATCCAACCTTCTGAATAGCATCCTTTGTGAGTCCTGGTGGGGAAATCTACCCAGGCAGGAGTGAGGGTAGAAGAAAGATTTAAATTTCCTAATAGGAGTACCCAGGGCTTCTGAAGGGAACAACACTGTGGACCCTAAGAGTGATTTAGCATTTCCAAAAAATCTGGTGTATGTTAGTTTCTTATTGCTAGTTTTCTTTACTTTCTGATTACAAGAATAAGCAGCTTCCAAGTCTTCCACTAGTCTGAAAAAACCGAAGTATAATTCCTACTTCCTCCTATCAGGGTCAAGGCCAGCTATTGGGTTTACTAGCAGCTAGGAGGGGAGAGGGATTTCATTTACGTGAACTAATGTACCAGTCCAGAGGACTCGATCTGGCCTGGGGGAAGGGGAGGTAAAAGGAAGAGATTCTTTGGGGGAGAGAAAAAAAAAAAGTAGATAAAGGTTTTACGTATGGTATTTTCCAGATGGAATCCTCCCAGGCTAGATACCTTCAGAGAGTTATCTATTTTCTTCTACTCAGGGCTGTGTTGCAGTAGGCGTGTGCATAGGAACGGAGAAGATACCCTTAAGCTCTCGTCAACTTCTGGCCGTCACAGGAAGACTCTAGCAGCTCGCCTTTGAGTTGCTAATCTGGGGAGGGCTCTGCTCTTGTAGACCAACGTCATCGTAACCTTCAGGAATCCGCTTCTTGTTTCGTGACGATACCTGTATTTCCCTCCCACCCACCCCCCCTTTTTTTTCATTTACCTGGACCCTGGGAAGCTGAGGACCGCAAGGTTCCGGCTCTAATTCTGGTAATGAGACAGTAGTCAGTAACACATCTGGAAAGGCAGCAGTGAGACCGCTCCCACATGAAACAGAATAGGGCCACATAAATGGGACTCACTTCAAGTGCTTGGAGCTATATTGTATTCGCACGTTGTAAAGTAAAAATGAGGGCATATTACTGTGTGTATGTACGGACGCGTGTGGACACTTAGAAATAACGCACAGTCTAGCAAAACTTCGTCTTAAGCTGCTACTGCTATTTAAAGGTTTCTGAGCATTCCTTTTACCCCGTTGTGCAGGAAATCAAATGATCGATTCTAAAATTCAATGACCCAACAAGAGCTTGTTATTCTTATTGTCAGCCAGGAAAATCCTGCACCTTCCATTCACTTATTAGCTGGAGAATTTCCAGAATGAGGTCTAGTGGCGTTATCTGGGCAGCAATCATGTACTGTAACAATGAAATGGAACATGCTATTATTGAGACACGGCGCAGCAGGTGGCTTATTATGCTTTTGCATATTCTCCTTTCTCTTCCAACCATTTAGATGCTGGTAATTGAGGGGAGCAGAGGCGGAACTAATTTTATTTTCAGAGATTAAAATGTTGGCTTCCCAAGACGTGTTTGGGGTTTGTTCCTGATGGGATAACTGATGATGACCATGGGAAGCGTGTGAGCTGCCCCCGGTGACAACATTAGACAGCTTCCTCTAACCTGTATTCTGCTCCTCAAAGAGTCTTTCCTCGTGTTTGCTTCTACAACCATCCCCTGGCAGCACAGAATTGGCACAGACACAAACACCCGCCAGAAGAGACCACAGGACAGAGCCATGGTGCCAGGCAAGTGAAATATGGCTTCTTGGCATTACAGTGAATTCACTGGGAATCAAATGGACTTCTTGTGTTGGCACAGAATCAACCTCAGTTTTCTCTTCTTTCTATTTGCTGTCATATCTCCTTCCTATACTCAGAATTAACTTTAGACCCTGCGCTCTATTTAGAAATTGCCCTTGGCAGGCAGATTTTTTAAACTCCTGGGAAGGAGTCTTTAAGTAGTAGCGGCAAAACCTTTTAAAATCTTCACAGCTGGTTCTGGTTCTGAAATAATTAAGTGAAACCCATCAGTAGCATCTTTGAGTCCAATAATAGCTTAGAGGCAAAGCCTGATTGAATATTATTAATGGACTATACACAGGAGGAGAGTTGCTAATTTGCTATATATGGTTCCATATTGGTCACACGGAGTAGTATATCACAGTTTTCCTAGAAACTGGCTGTCAGAGTTTCTAGTGCTTAGTTTAGAACTGGAGACCCTCACCATTTATGACTGTTCTCTCCCAGTGCAACCAGGATCAAATGGGGTAGGTAGAGGTGGACAAAGGTAAAAAGCCTTCTCCCAAATATCCCAAAAGAGCCTTCTCTCAAATTCCCTTTGGGTTCTAATGTCATTCGCTTTGCTATCTTACTTCAAGATACTTGAATCAGTCAAGTGTAAGAACCTTGGGCACTTCGAAGATTCCCCACTCATTTACTCCTGATTGGGATCCAAACTGTGTGGAGGAGGTTAACAGATCAAAGAATTTTGTGTGAGGATAGAAGAGAAAGAAAAAGGGGACGGAGAGAAAGAAAGGTTTACACCAATGGGATTTGCTGGTAAATCTAGCTGCTTGGCTAGAAATAGGCATCTGATTTACCCTGACCCAGGGTTGAGTGACAGCTCCAGCACTAAGTGTTAGAAGTAAAGGAGAAAACCAAGGATCCAATGACTCTCTGATTTCCCTCCCCTAAAAGATGTTGCTGAACCTGTCCCAGATATAATGTCCTGTCTTTGGTTGATTCTCTTAGCCTTGGTTGATTTCAGAAGGTCCATTCCTATAGGAGGTACCGAAGAAAATTTATTCTGATAAGCCCCTCTGGATGGAAACTGTCTATTTCAGCCAACGTTCTGAAGCTAATTAACACAGTTTGTCACTTGGAATAAAAGAGGTTGGTTAGATATGCTAAAGAGCCTCATTGTTTGGCTCGGCTAAGGAGGAAAGGGAAAAGAGTGGGGGTGGCTGGCGCTGTCACATGGAAAAACATTAAGGAAGGCAGCCAATCTCTTTGCCCCTACAACAACCACAAATATGATGATCCTTCCAATAATTCTCTCCGAATTCCCCGCCCCTTTCGTCGCTACCCCCTCCTTTCTTAGAGGAGAAAAATAAAGTCAGTAAATAATGGGTGTAAAGGACATCTTTTTCTGGTTATCCCTTCAACTTCCTGGTGGAATTTGCTTTGGTCAGCCTAAGACCAGGCAGTGCTTGCCCCTGTTAGGAACCTGAAATCAGGTAAAACCAATCAAACAACCAACCAACCAAACAAACAAACTCTCTCTACTGCAGGGTGGGTGCCTATTGTTCAGTTAGTTGGATGCTTGTCACTGGACTACAGCTTTCGCAAGGATGATTTCCATTCACTCTGGCATCCGATTTTATCTTAATGGGTTAAATTGGATTCACTTTGCTGATTACTCTGCGTCTGACTGCCTAGCGAGGCAATGCCAAAATCCGACGAGGGTGGGTTGTGGGCTACCGCTCCCTTCGGATACATCAGGAGTTCAGATCACATCAGATCAGTTCAGATTGGAATTTTCTTTTAATGGAGACTAGAATGTGAGAGATGAGAGGGAGGAGGGCTGGGAGGGGGAAAATGAGGAGTTCGGGAAAGGGAGGAGGAGAAACAGAGGAAGACTTGTTGTTTAGCAGTCACCAGGTTACCCATAGAGGTAGCTGCCTCCAATTCATCTTCTTCCATGTGCTCGCTGTGTGGGAAGTTACTGGTGGGAGCATCCTAAGGTACAAGTTCCAAGAAGGAAAATCGAGCTCCGGGCCTGGAGGTACAGGTTGCTCAGAAAGACTCCAGATATAGCATTCTGCAAATTTCTAAAGATGCTATTTTTAAAAATTAGTTTTATTTACAGCAGACTCCCCCATTAACACTTTACTTGATTATTAAAGGATTGAAAAAACTGAGCAAGGGAACCAAACATCTCGATCTATGTGGGCTCTTTGCTTCTCCCTCTTTTCTTCCCTTCTCTCTCTTTCTTTTTCCTTTTTTCCTCCTTTTTCTCCTCTTCTTCCTCAGCCACTAGAAACAAACAGAAAATAAAAGACAGGTGGAAAGCCTTGGCAGAGGAGGTCAGAGGTGAGAATTGCACATCAATTCTTTATTCGAGGCTGCAATGGAAGAGAGAAAGGGAGGAAAGAGAGAGACAGATGCGTGCAGGACAGACATAAACATAGAGACAGACACAAGAGGGGGGAGACACACACACATACATACA